TCTCAAGGCGAAGGGGCTATAAACATTATTCATTGAAATGCAAGGTTAGAAATTCTCTACAATACACCAATCTGCAGATTGGTAGTATTCTTCGACCTTTGCACCAGTACTCGAATAATCGTTGAAAGAGTTTCGAATCTTTTTCTTCAAAAAATATGGAGAAAACGTTTTATTCGGGATGATGGTGATTTTCAGCTCCTATACTTTCATTATTACCATTTTCAAGCCCATAGAATAGTTCAAAGTCGGAATGAAACAATGCTCAACTTATTAAAACCAAAATTTATCTACATTTTCAAATTATTAATCTGTTATTTAGAATGTCATTGAGATTGTTCATCGTAACTACAGCAGTAAATAATATCTTAAGTTCTGTTCAAAGTGGGTGTCGCGCGAGCTCACTATTTATCAAAAACAAGAATGTCTAGATTATTCTGAGCAGTGTTTGGAGCTGTTCCGTCAGAAAAATTCCATCCTGAAGTGGATGTCCACTTCATCAACCAATGAAACATTGTTGTTATCATACGTGAGGTATATTAAAAATAAGAAAATATATCAAGAACTACTATTTGCCAGAAATTTATAGACGGATACAATAGGAGAAACCATATACAATACACTGGAAAAATGTTGTGATGAGAAAGAAATTCCAATGAAGAATATTATGTCAGCTATGACAGGACGTCATAGCGTACTTAAAAAATAAAATTCCAGATGTACTCGCTGTACATTGCGTCATTCATAGGCAACATTTGGTTACGAAAAATTTGAGTGAGCGCCTGTCTCAATCACTGCAATGTATCATCAAAGCAGTCAATAAAATCCGAAACAGCTCTTTATATGACAGATTATTTAATCAGCTTTGTGTTGTTAATTATGAAGATTTCAACGGATTGCTATTTCACACAGAAGTGCGTTGGTTTTCAAGAGGTAACTGTCTGACTCGATTTTACAATCTCTTTGACTCTGTAATAGAGTTCTTAGGCAACAAAGACAAAGAATTGCACGACAACCTCATCACTTCAAAGAATGACATTGCGTACTTGACAGACCTGTATTAATTATTCAATGATGTCAATCTCCAACTTTAATTTGATTAAAACAAAAAGTGACATTGCTGCTTTTGTTGCCAAATTGCTCTTATACATGAATAATATCGGCAACAACGACTTTCTTGTTTACTGCCAACATTTGGAGAATCAACACAGCAAGATCACTCCAGCTGGAAGAAGAACTCATAGAACTGATAGCGAACGAGGAAATAAAAATGAAATTATAAAATGGGTACCAAGAAGTTTAGCTACAAAAGCCACTACCGCAATTATACCCTGGATTGTGGTCCATCGTTCAACGATTCATGATAGCATTCCCATCATCGTATTTGTGTGAACTTGGATTTAGTGCTGTAGCAACGTTGCTAACTAAAAAGAGAAATCAGTTTCAGATTACCGAACGCGGTGACTTACGGCTGTTTTTGAGTAAATTCGAACTTGATACCAACAAACTTTTTGAAAATCATCAAATTCATTCGGTGACGTCCCCAACAGGGACTTTTTCGGGGTGCATTTGACGTTCTCGGATATCATGTGAATTGTTATCGTACCTAATTCGACAATTTTGTTTGTTCACCTACCTATTCATCCATAACTGGGCTTCATGATTTTTCAATGAAAATTAGTGTCAGTTGCCAACTACTCAAGAGCCCATTCAGCGAACACTCGTCGTTGTATATCGTTGTTTACCATCAGTTCCTGGGTCAATTGAATTTTGTACGAGTGCAGTCTCAAGTCACCACGCAAAATTCGTCAAGTTAAGGTCTGCAAAAGGCCAAGTTCTTGTGAGCGTCGCGTAATCGACTCTCTCGGATTCTCCTGCACACTCTCACAGACAGCGGCGATGGTTCCGGCAGATCTTATGTTCGTCGACGTAATAGTGTTGGTTGATCATTTTCTGAACCAAAGCATCCCATTCTAAGGAGTTCAAGAATGACATACAACATGACGGCAGGTAGAATAGGGTCAATTCACCAAATTCAGGCACAGGTATGATAATACCTGGATAGGTATGATAATACCTGTACCTTTCTTTGCCACAGACTACCTGTATCAACATAAACACGCTTCATATAATTTACCTAAGCCAGGTACAGGTAGTAGCACACTAAACTACCTCAGAATTCAACATAAATACGCGTTACCCAGCCGTAATATCCAGTCATCGGAGATATAAACCAAGGAGAAAGATCCGAGTTTTATCATTGATAAAATGGTAGAAAAAGTTGTCACTGACGATTCAGCAAGTCTATTGTCATCTTCAGTAGTACTAGTAACGAAAAGGATGTATTAATTAGCTTTCGTTGGGCGGATTATTACCCTTCGCGAATTCAAAGTGGTTTTCTACCCTCTATCTGAAGAACGGTTATTGAAAAGTCAAGGTTTATCCCAAAGATAGACACCAAACCTCAATTGCTGGGTTTTCAGCACCCTGCTCAGATGAACGAATCAATTCTGATCACAGTAGTACCAGAAGTGTTTCATAATCTCTAAAGATTCAGTGACACTTTTCGAAAGTCGCTCTTACTTCATGAGAAAACCTATAACGCATACCTGTACTGCTTTTTCATGATCAGAAGAAAATAAATTTGAATTCATTGAATTTATAAAAACTTCCATTGCATAGTCAACATAAGCTGAAATCTTTCGCGTCGTAAATTCAAACAATTTGGATGCATTAGAAAATAAGCTCCCTAACATGCAAAACTGCAATATGATGAAAATGAACCGCATTTCCCTGCGAACGATCCTGACCTAGTTCACTACAGAATATTACGTTTCATTAGTTGTTTACCTCTGCTTTTTTTCTACTTCATGTTATGTGAACTCACGAAGGATATGAAGGTTGATCCAATGTTCCCCTTGATGATTCAAATTAAATTAAATGTACAGTAGTTTGAAAGTTGTAATAAAATAAATAGTTCGATACTTTTCTCTCACATCTGAAATGTGAAAATTTTGTTCCTGACTCATGCTTTGTCAATCAAGTTGTCATTTCAGGATGACTATGTGTGACTATCCAAACCCTGATCAGGTGATATCTCAATTCAAAGGCCATTTAACAGTGCAGCTAAGACAATTAATTGAGAAAAAATATTTCAGTTTTTTGAGAAGTTACAGCATGTTGAATTCGACATGACGTCAATTTAGAAAAGGAATATTTTCAAGACAAATTAGTTTTCAAAAAAAGAAGAATTTCAGCTTTCTACTTCTGCATCTTCAAACAAAATATATGATTAACTTCCAAAGAAATATTATTTCGGAAACTTATATGAATGTTCAAGATTTTCTATGCAGCAAAATAGAAATTCAATTACAATTCAATTTTTCCACTGCCTCACGAATGATGAAATGACAAACGTCTTCACAACAATAAACTTTTTTTCAGTATCATTCCAGATCAAAAATACTGTCTCTCGACGCGAGTTTTGCCAATCAAGTTAGGTTATTTATCTTCTGAAGGTGCTCCTGATACATAATCTCAGTCTATTCCAGTATTTTTGTTCTGGTATGGAAAGAGTGATTTCAATAGAGTTAAGTTGAGGTTAAGTAGAACAACAGTTCACTTGTATTACCACTATCATTTTCCTGTAATGAAAATTTTATTGTATTAAACTGTTAATAACTTACTAGTGGAGATAACAAAGACGAATCATTATTATTATGATATTTCAACATCAGAGTTTCCAGTTCTACCTACCGAGTCAGAAATTGTAGTAACAATTGGGATTCCCCAAGGCTCGATCATTGACCCATTCTCCTTCACATTTTATGCAAATGATATCACTTGCTAATCAGAAAGTCACAAGTCTTTCTACGCAAAGAAAACTGGAATCTACCCCATTTCACTGTCTAATCATCACAATTTCCAAGTCGATCAAAACTCTAGATATAACTAATGCAGTGGCCGGTTTTCTCCACTGAATACAGGTATAGTCTACACTTCGCAAAAACTTCCTCATCTGTTTTATATACAACAAGCTGGTCTTCTACAAACGGTTTCTTTCCCACTAGACTTCAGAGTTATCATAACCTTGGACCTCATTTGGTTCTATCACATATTGTTGACGTGCCAACCATTCCTTCGGGAACTTTAATAGGAGTAACCTCGTTTTTGGATGCATTGTTTTGAACGGGGCCTGATTCTACTACGCGATCAAAACCCATGGAAAAATGATCAGTGTTAATACACACGTATGACCTACAGTGACATCAGATAGTCTGACCACCTTCCAGATTTCTAAGAGATCTTGTCTTTCTTTTTTGGATTCTCAAATACGATGATTATGACATACATGGGTATGAGAAAACAATTCACAGAAGAAACAGCGACAAACTTTTCATACAACCCTATCTTTGACAATTGGAATAACATTTATGATGATATAGTTTGTTTGCAGAAGTTCTTGTATAATTTCCTCGAATACCAGTATTTCAATTTCAATGAACTGTCCACATTTATTTGTTTATTTAGCAGTAGGCTTCAGAAGGGCTTTCATCACAAGTTCATGTATAATAGTGAAAGTATTAAATTATTGTTATCGAGCTAATACAAATCATGTCCAACTTTCTAAAAACAATAAAGTTTGAGCTAGTGAAATTGAAATATTTGTCTTGTTCGCAGTATACGAAGGGGGTTACAATTTGAAATGTCAAAGTAAAGATTGCTACTTTTTTGTTGTGTCCTACAACAAAATTCAATCTCGAGAGCTGAAACCAATTAAAATTTTCGGTATCTCATTCATTCTTTGAGGTTTATCCTTAACTCACATGTATAGTTTTCATTGCAGTTTTCGAAATCACTGTTCAGTTCGTTCAGCATCAGAACATTGAGTAATTTTAGTCAGTCAGTTGACTTCAACAAATCATTAGCGGTTCTAAAATTGGAAAACCATAAAACGGTTTCCTCGTAGTGTTACGTTATTGAGAATAGTATTCTGTACATACCTATAATTAGTTCAGCTGTAAATGAGCACGACGATTCTGAAAAAAAAATCAATTTATTCTTAGTGAGCTGTTATGATCTCAAATATGCTAATTTAGTGAGGCAGGAGAATAACTTAGGAATATATATTGAGCACAGAGTGACGTATGTTGCATTTCACTCGTCATATTTGTCAATATTGAAAAGTATATTTTCCAAATCTGCAAGAAAGTTAGATAGATTGATTCCTTTTGTTAAAGGACAAATTCCAAACTTTAGACCAAGATCCAGAAAACGTTTAATATCCGGAGGTATTTCAACGTTTGTGAGTTTCTTTATCCATTATTCTTGTATCTTAATTGAGAGAAACTCATTATTTTAAAGATTATCAAATTCATTTCTGTCTTTTTGTTTCATTTTGTAAAATAGAGAATTATATTTAATTTAAAGCCTTCGTTCATATTCTTCAAAAGTGCACCACTTTTATTACACCACTGTGTAACGAAAGTTCTGTCATTTTTCTTCACATAAGAAAACCGTTTGAAATAAAAAATTGCAAGAACAATCTTCCATATAACTTCTCAATAAACTCATCACTGATTATACAGTGCTTTTCAGATAAAAGAATCCACCTTTAATAACTTTTGTAATACTGGTATTTAGGAAAAATCCAAAAACACGTCAATTTATGTTGGAAGGGGCAAGCATTATGGCTTATTTAAACTTACTGGAAAAGCCACCCCCTCACCCCTAGCATCATCCCTTTTTGTGTATGGAATTCACGCATAATATGTGGATCACTTTCAGTCCAATATCTACAATTATGCCTATTTACTAAGCCATTTAATGAAAATGAGCATTCATCAGAAAAGCAAATATTGTTTAACAATTGTGGATTGTTATTGATAAATTGCGTCATTGATTCGCAAAACTCTAGACGACGATCAAAATTATCTTCATTCAACTCGTGCACCAACTTGTATGGGTGGTACTTAAATTTATGTAGAACTCGGAAAACTATAGAAGATGAAACACCGATCGCATTACTTATTGTTGACAACGATTGGGGCTGTTGAGCCTCTAAGCTGACTTGCCCTAAAATTGCCACTTGGATTGCTTCGTTATGTATGAGTCCCTCTCGCGTATGCACTTTATTGCAAACAGACCCTGTTGTGGTAAATTTCTCCATCAGTTGAATTACATACTTATGAGTTGCATGTCTTCCATCATGTAATTCGTTAAATATTCTAGCAGCAGCTCTTGCACAATTATTATTTTGGTAGTATAAACCTACAATTTTAATTCTTTCTTGCAAAGAGTAAACCATTTCAGCGAAACAAAATAAATAATGTATCAAAGTACACTATCAATAGTGACTACAAGTGAATGGTAGAAGAAGCAAAAAGGAGATAGAAAAGCGGAATGGTGAAAGGTCAATCATGTTATAGATTTTGAAAAAGATGTAATTGCAATTTGATTTCAAACTGAGAGCGTGGCAAGTTTTTAAAAAGTTCAGGAATAGCATTGAAAATTGTAGGTGTTAACGAGCCTCTAAACGTGATGTTAATATTATAAACGTCGGTTCTAAATGTCACTTTTCTGTGAAGGTACGAAGGGACTTCATACAAAAGAACCTTATGATAGAGAGAGGAAACATGTAGCTTTCTCCAGTTTCTATATTTAGCCATCCAACTTCCTTGAGCTTGTGAGATATTCTGTTTCTTCATCCTATTCCAAATATATGCCTCAAACAACAATTCTGGACTTTCCGAATCTCTCGTTTATAATGACTTGTCAGATTCGGCACATAAAGAGTATCAAATTCATTTGTGCTAGCACTAAGGTCGCACATAACTTTTGTTCAATTCCATTGCCAGGCAGTGTCCATCACCATATATCAGTTTGAGGGAGGTATAGGCTCATTGAATAAGTTTGTTGGTTCCTGGCTTCACCAACCACATCAAGTGTATCTGTATTTACATGAATTTCAACTGAATTGATGATTTTACTCATGTAGATTTTCGATCCAAAAATGATAAAATTGAGTGTCGCATAAAGATGCACATTACAGGTTTTAAGTTTCTTTAGCAACGTTGATGAGTGTATAGTAAAGAGCAGTAGCCAAAAACTGATTCTTATAGTACTCCTGGCTTCGGTTTTTAGATCATTCGACACTTGAGAATCCAACCAAATGTTTTCTTCCTACGTTCCAGAAAATTGACAGAGTTATCAGATAACCTCACCTAATGTAATATATTCAGTATGAGTTCATGATTCAAGGTATCGAATGCTCTGCTATTTGATTCAATCAAATGCGGTATCAGCCTATATTTATTGATGTAACGCGGATCTACGACTATGAGATGATGAATGAATTAACTTCCTACAGAGGGTTTGCCCCTGTTTGACTATGGATGATTCTAATAAAGTTTTTCATTTATCTCCCCCCAAAACAAAACGGGATCCACCCTTACCTGCGGTTACTAAGTATTTTGAATTACAATTCAGCTATGAAAACTATATACGAAATAAAACAACCGTTTCCAAAGGAAACGCTCAAATTGATTTCACGAATTCTAATGACATTAAGAATTCCTGACACGAGTTCGTAGATTCTCGGCATCATAGTATTCAGGAACATGCTTCCCAAGCTGACCTTTTAGCTTTTATTTCTCATATGTAGTTTCTGTATGCCTTGAAATTACACCCAGTTATATTTTTGTGCAACTTATTTCCAGTGTTTCGTAACTTCTGCTTCTTGCAGTTTTTATGCTTTTTTTACCGATATTATGATCGAGCTCTGCATTTCCGTTGTATCGAAATGCACGTGGATTCGATGAGACTATGAAGTCTCTCCCTCATTTTCACATTTGACAGAGTGTCTGGTTAGTCTGTTTTTATTGCGCAGCTACCGGCCAAGTGCATGTCCAAGTAGTGGGGGGTAATTAGCTCTTTCCCAAAATCAGAAAGGTAGGCAAACAACTGAATGATAGTTTGTTCGATTGATGACTTATTTATTTTGTAGAAATTCATGTTGAATATAGAATGAAGAAAATACTTTTGTCTAGTTTCTACTGTGTTCATTTATTCGTTACGACCGGTTTCGGCTTACAAGGCCATTTTCAAGTAACTACCACAAATTGTCAAGTTGCGTCTTAAATAGTGTGGACAGGTATCTGCTCTAGGTACCTGACTTAACACGTTACCAATATATCACGATTACCAACTATTGGATGGATCCTGAAATTCCTAAATTCAAAATGGGCGAGCTGCATAGATCTAGTAGGTCGTTGAGCGTTATGAACTTGGGGTCCTTGTACAATTTATTTATTTCTAACGCTTCCAATGAATTCATCTCCCTTCCTTTGTTACATGTATGAAAAATTTGTTGGAGATTAACAACAAAAATGAATTTGAGCCACATTATATTTATATGTTTTTGATTCGATGTTTCTATGGTTGTGTGTTGTTATATATTGTCAAGTTCAGTTGTTATATTTTACCAACCAGAAATAAAAATTATAAAAAGTCTCCATAAAGTTCTTATCATAAATATAAAGTATCTTCAAACAAAATTTTCATGTTTCCTTTATTTATTGTATGATTTGTTTCTTTTACATGTCCATATATGGCTGATTTTTTATCTGATAATACATGTTCTCGGTATTTTATGTCTGACCTGTATAAGCTGCTGGGCAGTCCCCACATTCAGTCTGTATATGCCCAATTTTTTCCATTCATCCCTTTTGTGTTTTGCGTTGAATAACATGTTTCCCAAATTATTCTTATTAGAAAATGATGTGCTTATATTGAGTTTTGAAAAATAGTTCTTTATATTTTCTGAGAGCTTCCCTGAATAACTTATGCTAGCATATTTTTTACCTTCTTTATGCTCTTCCTGATTTAGGTATAGTTCCTGCATGATCAATTTTTTGTTCTTATTGGAGATCAGTTTTTCAATTAAGTTGGCGGGAATATGGTTGTTATATGCTATTTGCTTTATGATCTTAATTTCTTCATGAAAAGCCTCCTCTGATGACGGTATCATAAATGCTCTATAAATCATAGATCTGAAGGCCGATAATTTGTGTGATAATGGACTGAAAGAATCCATCGGTATTGTACAGTCCGTGAAGGTGTTTTTCTATAGATGTTGAACTTCTTCACGGACTGTACAATACCGATGGATTCTTTCAGTACAAGGACCCCAAGTTCATAACGCTCAGCGACCAACTAGATCTATGCAGCTCGCCCCTTTTGAATTTAGGAATTTTAGGATCCATCCAATAGTTGGTAATCGTGACATATTGTAATATTGGTAACGTGTTAGGACCTAGAGCAGATACCTGTCCACACTATTTAAGACGCAACTTGGTAGTTACTTGAAAATGGCCTTGTGAGCCGAAACCGGTCGTAACGAATAAATAAACACAGTAGAAACTAGACAAAAGTATTTTTGTTGAATCAAGGTTTATATAGATATATTTTTTTTCTGTTGATACGTATTTGAAAACCCGCTTGCTAATAGCTTGTCCTTCGAAGTATTTTCAAAGTCTTCTGTATTCTATTGTGAATTTTCTGTTCATAACAAATATTATTATTGTTCCGCAGCTGTGGAAGCTGTACACAATATATAAAGTAGTTTCCGGAGGAAACGATGAATTCTAATCGACACTAGGAATGTCTAACACGACTCAGTACCTATATCTATTCAGTGATACGATTCCCAAGTTGACTTTTTAGCTTGTATTCATCATACAGATTTGATATATGCCTCGAAATTATATCAAGTTGTTCAGCACCTCCTTTTCGAACTTGAGTTTCAAGCGATTGATTGTACACCCTTTTAGCTCTTCTTTTGAATCCATAATGTCGCAGAACTGTGCATTTTCTCCACAACAAAATGCATGTGGATTCGACGGAACTCTGTCATCTCGTCCTCTCTCATTTTCACCGGCAGCTTCATCGATCAATTCGAAAAAGAACGTCTGGTTAGTCTATTTTTATTACTAAGCTGTCGGCGACCGTAAATTAAAGAATATGGAGCGAGTTCAATTTAGTGTTCACT